ATCAAGATCGCAGTAATTGCCTACTAGTAGGCATGTAAATAGGCACCTACTTGCTGGCGGTAGAAATGCCATCGGTCCATCCCAGCTGCAAGCACTTCACGATCCCAAAGAGGGAAAGCGGGGTTTATTCAATGAACCCTTGGGTGCAGTGTAGTGGGCAGTACCTGCCACACAAGTACCCACTTACCTTATGATACACTGAAAGTATGGTGAGAGATACTGGGCAGGTAGGTATTAGTGTGTATGCAGGAGGTAGTTCCAGCGCAAGTGACCAGCGGAACCAGCCCTGCCCCGGCAGGGAAAGGCTTCCAAATCTGGCCCCGTCCACTTGTTTTCGCCTCGCAATCCCTCCACTTTCTGCCTGCTAATGGCAAGGCACCTCCTTCGAGTCCTACACTACCGGTAACACGCCACTGTACACAACTTTCTGTACATCGCATTCATTTTTCATTGTCGGCGCCAGCATTTGTCATTTGTTGCGTTTTTATCATTGGTCGCCTGATTCTCCCTCCCTTCTGTGATATTCCTTCTCTCTTTCTGCCCCTCTCTAGACCACAACCCACATCGAGGCGCACCACTCTCTTTTCGACAACGCGAGTCTCGTCTTTCCGCACGATCCCTCCCCGCGGCGTCTATGCTCACGATACCGCCCGTGCACCAACTCGGGTCCCCTTCATTACTTCATATAGAATGATATAGCCTCTTTATCTGTCGTGAACCCAGTTATATATACGTTTCAGGCATCCCAACGCCGCGCTTCGCAACAGCATAGTCATGGGGCTCTTCGGCCAGAAGTCAAAGCTGAAGACAGCACCGGCTGCCGTGCGCGTGGAAAAGGTAGTTGTGCCTAGTAAACCTAGGCCAAGTCTTGTACCCGGTAACGGCCTGCGCGCGTCATCCTCCCATCTGTCCCCCTTGGCGAAACGATCCCCTAATCCATCCACGTCGCGACCGAAGAGCGCGTCGCCGTACCCCTCCTCCTCTGACGAGCGGCGGGTCGATCGGAAGCGCAAGGCTATGACGAGTACGCCTCGCGATTCGCCCGCTTTTGGCAACGATACCGACTCGGAAGACGACGACGGCGACCCCTTTAAGAAGCGTATGCGACGGAGTGACAGTCGGCCACTCGACGTGAACCGCAAATTGCGCCATAAGAAAGCATTTGGCGATGATGTCAGAAAGCCCAATATCATCCATGCAGCAGATATCGCCTCAAGAGCCACAAAATGCCCTCCGATCTCCGGTGCGAAAGATGACGAGGTAGCGATCGAGGTGCAATATCCTTCACGCTGCGCGCGGGAGAGGTAGGCTCCTTTCCTCTATCCGGTTTCAACTAACAATGCTAACATCACATTTGAGATATGAGCTCGTATGGCAAAAGGATAAGATCGACGCAGTCAAAGACATTCTCTCCATCATTGAGAGCGTAGCCGAGACATACCTCACCGATGCCGACTCTAAAGCGTTTATCGATCACAACATGAGTTTCAGGAGGCAGATGGAACGCGCCATAAGCGAGAAGTACCGAGACGTCTCAGCCTTCCGATCAGCACTTGACAGTTACAACACAAAACTTCTAGAGTTGGTAGAAAGCGGTGCCATCGCCAAGACCCTCGACCGAATCCACCACCTGCCTTCGAGTCTGGTCTCTTTGATCCTCACCCAGGTCTACGATCGCACAGTCGCACCCAAAGTCGAAATGCTCACAAAGTACGACGCTGGGAGCGACAATGTTTACGGAGAGCTGTTGCATCCGTTCGTCACCAAACTCCTGGTGGAGCAAACAAAAATGACATCTGATCAGGTCTTTATTGATCTCGGATCCGGGGTCGGCAATGTTGTCCTTCAGGCAGCGCTCGAGATTGGATGTCGCAGCTACGGATGCGAGATGATGGAGAATGCTTGCAACTTAGCGGAGGCGCAGGAAAAGGAGTTTCGTGCTCGGTGCATGCTCTGGGGTGTCGCGCCCGGAAGGGTCCATCTCGAGCGGGGCGACTTCCGTAAGAACGCGAAGATACTCGAAAAACTGAAGGAAGCAGACGTCATTCTCGTCAACAATAAGGCCTTCACCTCCACCCTCAATGATGCTCTCATCAACATGTTCCTCGACCTGAAGAAAGGATGCAAGATCATATCTCTCAAGTCCTTCGTATACGACAACAAGACAGCAATCAATGACGTCGCCACTAGTATTCTCACCTTTGAGCAGTACCGATATCATGAAAATTGGGTGAGCTGGACCGGATCCGATGGAGAATACTACATCTCTATCAGGAAATAAGGTCGCATTGTATAGTGATTTTCGGCATTTTCCTTATCGCATGTGTCAGCAGTTGCTTATACATTGCGTGGAGTAGGGTAGTTTGGGACGGCGACATGCGGGATACCACGGGTTTGGGCTAGACTTTAGAGCGAGACAGACTTTGTAGACGCTTACTGTATAGATGATGCATATGTAGATGATACCAGGCATAGCAATGACAATGGGCGTTCCTTTTCAATCGGCTCGTGTTGCCATCATCTATGATTCTTCTGGTTTGGTGATTCGTTCTGTAGGTTCAAGGCGTCGGCCTCATGACCCATCCTCTTCATCCAACGGTCCACGAGCTCCTTATTCTCGGCCTCCACCTTAGCTTTCTTTTGGATGGTCATATTGAGCTCCATGTTCAGTGTGAGATTGTCATCTTGGATATCCTAAAGGGAAAGCAAGAACCAGTCAGCACGGAAAAGAAGTCCTTCCAGAGGGATAAACACCACTATGTCTCATCATAAGCCCCATTTAGCACGCGATTTTCATGTCGAGGTACACACTCCCCGTGATCGATATCTTAACACTCACGACACAGCCTCCCAATAGAAAGGGGGGAAAATCGCAAATGGCACCCCTCGCGGCGCGCTCCCACATACCTTGAGGAACTTCTTCTTCTTGTCCAGCTCCTCATTCAGATCCCGCACCCGAGCCGCCAGCGCGTTGCGCTCCGACGTCAGGTCGGCGATGCGCTTGCCATCGACCCTGCTCTTGGACCGCAGGGCCGCGAGCTCGGCCTCGGCGGCCTTGAGGCGCGACTGCGCATGGCCGCGGCCGCGGAGGGCCTCGGCGAGCTCGAGGCGGAGCTGGGCTGCTGCTGCTGCGCCTGCGCCTTCGGACGAGGCTGAGGCTGTGGTGGGATCGGTTGTTGGGGGTTTCGAGGCTGCGGCTGCTGCTGCTTCTTTAGGGGTAGTGGTAGTGGTAGTGGTAAGAGCTGCTGGTGATCCGGCTGCCCAGACTAGTTTTTCGGCCTCGAGGGCTGCGACACGGTCTGCGAGCTGGGAGCCTAGAGAGCGGGCGAAGAAGCCCCCATCGTCAGCTTTGCGTGGGTACAAACGAATGGGCTAATGGATTATATGTGTGTTGAGGGGCGGTTTAGGGAGTACTGGGTTTCATATTGCTGGCATTGTATTGTTATGGCTGTCCGTTTGTCCGTTTGATATGAGTAAGTGTGCCGCACTTACAAGCTTCGACTAGGTCTTTATTCACCGGATTGTTGCGTTCCGCCTCTTGCAACGCGACCAGATAGTCGTCCCGCCACTGGGGCATCCTAATTAATGGTCCTATGAGGTGCCAGATGCTTTCATGTATTTCTTCACATAGCAGAACAAGTTCGTGAGTTAAGGGTGAAAGAATATGCACGCAATGAGAAGAAGTTCATGTACCAAACAGCCCGTGAGATGTGATGGCATGGAGGGGCAGCAACCAGGATGATGTCCTCAGCTACCAACCTTACCTACTATGTACTTTCGTATGTCCGCGGCGGGGTTCCCTGCTAGGATTACCTACGCGGGTGGGGGGGGTTCCTGGCAAGCGTTGCGCAAGCGTTGCGCAAGACTTGTGAAGCCTTGAAATAAAAATTCTCAGAAATCAATTTTCTTGAATTGTACCGGTAAAATAAATACTGTACGACAAAGTCATATATTATACACATGCATTCCGGTCGCCGAAAGTTTATCTCTCTGGTAAAGGTTTAAATTCGAAATTATCGCTGGCTAAAAAGCGTTGCGTAGGCTGGCAATTGTTGTAGGCTGGTAATAGTTGCGGCCTAGTAATTATTGCAGCCTGGTAATTGTTGGTGGCTAAGTGTGGCGCAGCCACTTATCCACCTGCCAACTAGCTGCACTACCTGCCACTGCCAAGTACAGCACCTATACCACCTGTAATCCATGCCCTCTGCCACCTACACCACCTGCCACCTATACCACCTGCCACCACCTATACCACTTACTTAGTAGGTAGGCTGCAGTGCAAGAATAATCGTTGCAGCCAACCAACCAGCCAACCAACTAACCAACCAACAAATACTAACGCAGCCAACGCACCACTACCTTCGAAGCTTGGAAATCTATCGCAATTACTTCGTAGCTTAAAAGTTTAGCAAAACGTTTTCTAGCCTTCGCGAAATATAGCCCTCCTTTTTAGCAAAATATATAACTAGCTAAAAATAGCTAGGCCCTAATAATTATTGCGGCCTAGTAATTGCTATGTGGCTAGCAAAGGTTGTGTAGCTAGGTAAAAGTTGTATAGCTAAGTAAAGGCTATACAGCCGAATTTCGGCCTAAATAAATTAGCCTGTAATACTTGCAAGCAATTTTAGCTACAATAACTAGCTATATATAAATTATAGCTATTAAAACAGAGTGACTTGAGTGGCTATTCGAAATGCTAGCAATTATAGGGCAAGGCTTGTATCCTTGCTTTAGATAACCAAGGGGGCAATTCTCCCGTTATGCTTTCTAGGAACCCCCCCCACCCGCGTAGGTAGGTTTAAGAAGCTCCGGAGTTATACATGGAGTGGGGACATATATGCACTTAAAAGTGCGTATGTACGTACATAAGCGATTCACCAACAGGGTGATATGCAAGTAGCAAGTTTATACACACGATTCGCGACAGCATCAAAAAGACATCAACACACGACAAAAAAAAATATGAATGAATCTAGAAATGAATGGAAACACTCTTGTAATGATCTCGGCCGGGATCGAACCGACAATCTCCTGATTTCCGGACGGTCATGTGTGTTTGAACCGAATCGTAGTCAGACGCCTTGCCATTGGGCCACGAGACCGTTATTCCTGTCTTCGATCGATGTTTAGCGATGGGGTTAATTTGTATTAGATCTGCAAAATTTTCGGAGAACCTTGTGGGTCTGGCCTGGACCCAGCTTATCTCTTTTTCTAATCGTTGTGGCATGCCTCGTTGATACAGGAAACTGGAGCTATATACACCAAGCAATGTATAAGCCATGTTAGTCGCAAAGCCAAGTCATATAAGTGAGGGAATAATTGACATGTCCGTTTGAGCTAGGAATGGTTGGTGAATACTATATATCACACCGGTTCTAAGCTCTGTTTCTCTGTTTTGTTGCCTACGGCTTTTGAACCAGAAGACAGGAAACAAAGACTAATGAAAGGAAACCAGTCAAGTAAGCAGGTATATTGCTGGCTAACTTGGCACCTATGATCCTAATACTTAATAGACCTGATACTTGATAGGCGTTAAACAAATCAGGATCTTAGAGAGTGTTTTAGATTCATGTAACCAACTCTCGCAAGTTCGACAAAATCTTTCCCTTAAGATCCGCTAAATGGGCAATAATCAAAGACATCCAATCAAGCCGAGTCCATATGGTCTTAAGCCTTTAGGGCCCCCCCAACGATCGCTTGTGCTAAGAATACTTGGAATTTCCACTGGCCGTTACGGGCAAAGGCTCGACTAGCCTCTATATACCGGAGTCCTACGGACCTAAACCTCCTTCATGAGAAGGTTTAGTCGCGTGTCTCAGTCTCCGAATAGCTTCATTAATCTACGATCCGAGACAACCTGCAATTCAGCTTCATGCCTACCTAGGTATAATATGATGAATACGAATCCAAAAGGCCATACAGTTCGCGTGGCCACGCATAGGTGATCTCCTGTCAGCGCGTAGGTTTCCGCACAACACTTACAGGTAACAGATCGAAATAACAACTTACATATTATAACTTACCTGTCAATATACACAGGAACAAACGAAGACGCAAGTTCTCGGTCCTATCTATATTACAGGCCAAAGCAGCTGGAGATTATTAAAGGAGTAACGTGAGGCATATTGCCCGAAAGTCAACCAAGTGAATACGAATATTAGGTATTAATATTATCATCTAACTATGATACACCCAACTCTTTCCTCTCTTTTCCTCAGAAAGCCTTATAAGCAGAACGCTCACTCCTCTTCCCAACCAAAGTCCCATTCCCAGAGTCTAGGTCCGTATAAATAGAAAGCACATCAGTGCTATTATCATAGTCAACACCGCACTTCGCAGAAAAGCCCTGGAAAGCATCGACGCGATCCTGGATATACGTCTCGAACCCTTTCCGCGAGCAGCTCGCCCCCGGGCCGTCGGCGCAGTCGGTGAGAGGCTGCGGCGCGCTGTTGACTAGCACGCGATAGTACTCCCCGTCGTCGTACCCGAAGGTCCCGTTGCAGCTCAACCGCTCGATCGCCAGGTTACTAAGGAACGGCAGCACGTGGGAGCTCTTCCAGGCGCGGCGGTAGTTGATGCGGTCGAGCGGCATCGTGTCGTTGATCGAGGCCTCGCTACCGCCGAAGGCGGAGTTGTTGAACAGTCCCATGGCCACGACGACCATGGGCGGCAGCTCGCGGTGCGTGAAGGAGACGTACATGTCCTCGGCGCTCTTGTCGCTCATGAGGAGGCTCGCCGTGGCGTTGAGCCAGGGGAGGCCGACGTAGCCGGATACTTGGTTGCCGTAGCCGACGTTGTAGTGGTACTGGATGTCCGCCGTGTACTCCCACGCGAGCCAGTCGTCCGGCGAGAAGAGATCGAGGTCGCAGAAGGGCGAGCTGCCTCGGATGACGGACTCGTACCCGCAGAGCTCCATCATGCCGTACACATCGTTCGAAGTGAAGTTGAACTCGGGCGCCAAGGCATTTAGTCTAGCCGTGATCGGTGCCGTGAATTTCTTCAGGTACACGGCCGACTGGTCGCTGCCTGCAGAGGACGAGTAGGCCGGACAGCTGCTGTACGGTGTCAGACTGTTGGCGCCGGCCTTTTTGGATTCGTAGACGCTGATGACGCGAATGTCGTTGTCGTCCGTCTCTAACCCTCGCACAAGTGACTCGGCAGATTTATACGTGCGCTCAGCAGATGACGTCCAGATGTGAGCCGGTAGTTTAAGATTCGGATACCGGAACGTCAGCGTAGTACCGAGCTGTGTAGCCTCGACTCTACCCACACGCGTCAAGAGTTCCTGCTCGGCATCCGTAATAGGGGCCGTCCAGCCCGAGAGGAAATTCAGCGTCGGGATCTTGGACCAGTCAATGCCTGTGTGGTTCTTCAGTTTTGAGATGAACGGCTCGAGATACTCCTCGTAGTCGAAGTCGTTGGCGTAGATGGCCGCATGCCGATTCAGGTATGCTGCTCGCACGGGCGTGCAGCCCTGTGGTGGTGAAGGTGACGTAGGCGGATCTTGTGGTTCGAAGTAGGGCGCGACTCCACCCAAGTGTTCGAGAGGGTTGAATGTGTAGGTTGAATAGAGTGACGCCGCTGAACTGGTCTGGGCTAAGCTAAATAAAAGACCCCAATGGAGCGAGCGAGCAAGACCCGTGGAAGGCATCGTGTATGTGTGTATAAGTGAGCGAGTGAGTGAGCGAGTGTTAGTGCGTATGCTCCTTTCGTTTCTTCTAACCACGTCGAAGTGTTTTACGATTGTTGAGCTAGGCAGCTCGTGTTGTTTACTTAGCTGACATGAAGCTCCGAGTAGTCTACACTTACCTTAAATATCTATTTAACTTTTTCAACGGCGGTCTCCCAGTGGTGACGACAAACGTAATATTTGCCCAACTTATGAATATCCAATCCGGCACCTTGGCGTCATACCTTTGCCAAGATACAAGCTAAAGCAAGCTCAAAGGCTTGTATCCCCACAATTTCCCCTTGTTCCTGGATCCGCCGATCCATCTCGATTTAGAGACGTGCGTCACTGGAAACACAGATTAATAACAATGCGAGAACCAATTTGGTCTATGACTGATGTCATTGCAATTCATGCTGGCACGGCAGGAGACGCCGTGAATGAGCTGGCAAAGCTGCTATTTTCAAGCATTTGGATGATAAGGTGCTAGGATACGATGGTAGTACAGTATTATATACCAGGTAGGCAGAACACGTCCATTCCACGGTCAGTGGACTATTAAGATATCTGCCTCGCGCGAAGATCCTTACCTTCGCCGTTCTCGGACCGCTTTCAGCACGGAGAAATTGCAACTCCTCCAATGTTGCAACTTCGCTACCACATGCTCCGTTCCCCGAGACGAGTTGACAATTTTGTAGCTTATAGCAAATAGACAGTTAAGACAGCGATCGATTAAATAAAGATGTGTACGCAGCATGTATTTGTCAAAATGGAGACCATGATGTATCCGAACTATCACCTCAGGTCAAAGTAACAGGCCGTCACGATGAGGTTCGAACACGTTCTCATACTCATCCTCACAGCCTTCGGGCACATCTCCGCCACAGCCGGCTCGCTCTCTCGCGCCGGGCTCCAAACTCTCGCCAAACCCGCCCTCCCAGACCGGGCGCCCTTCGGCTTCGGCGCCGCAGCAACGGGCGGGGGAGAAGCGCACGAAAACAACACGTACGTGGTGGACAACATGATGGACCTGCGCACGGTGCTGAAGATGGAGGAGCCGCGAACGGTGTACGTGCAGGGCGAGATCCAGGGCAACCAGATCAACGAGACCTTCTCCGGGGACTGCCAGTACTACATCGACTCGAGCAACGTGCCCGAGTTCAACTTCACGCTCTACATCATGGCGCTCAACGCCACCTACACGGACGCCGTCAAGGCCGCTGTTGCTGCTAACCAGACGTTCGAGGGGCGGAATGCGACGGAGTACTTGGCGTTGCTGAACCATCAAAATGTGTGTACCTATACTTATCTTTTGTTGCAGGAGATAGATCGACAGCATCGTGAAGTCAGTAATATTAATATCTGCGGTAAACACTAGGGATGGCGTGGCACGGCACAAAACGTACAGAAATCGTGGGAGTCGATCGATGCTCAGGGGAACCTGACTCTGATCGGAATGGACGTGAGTATTTACGTGCTTTTTCTTTCTTTTTTGTATCCCTTCTACGTAGAGCCGAGGTGATGTCAGGAGCCGGAACTCCTAATTAATGTCTTATATCCTACCTGAATTCGTGACATGATCCTGAAAACAGGAGCAAATATCATCTAGAGAAGAACAACACCCCTAATTTAACTGACTACCTATCGCTCAGTCAACAGCCTACCTCCACGGCGTATCTCTAATCTTCAACAGCCGCAGCAACATCATAATGCGCAACATCCACATCTCGCCCCCGCGGGACTGCTTCCCAGCACCAGAGACGTACCCAGCGACCTGGAACGCGCGGTACGACGCCGTCTCCTTCGTGACTACGACCACAGCCTGGCTCGACGGGAACGTGTTCGCAGACAGCCTCGCGGGCGCCGTGGCCCCGGACCCTTTTCCCATCTGGGGCTGGCAGGTGGACCGGTACGACGGCCTCTTCGACGTCGAGGACGGCTCCGACGCCATCACCTTCAGCCACAACGTCGTCGCGAACCACCACAAGAGCCTGCTCTGGGGCGGCGGCGAGAAAGAGGGACCCCGCGACCTCGGCAAGATGCGCTTCACCGTCTTCGGGAACCACTTTGCGAATTCTTCGAGCCGGAATCCGCTCATGCGCTTCGGGACCTTCTATATCGCTAACAACGTCTTCTCGAATTACGAGAATAATCCTCCTTTATACTCGTCGTCGACGGACTCTGAGGGTAGAGAGACCTCTGGCTCATCCGAATCATCGACAAGGCAGCAGCTGTCCGAAAGGGACGCACTCATGAATGAAGATGACGCTCCTTATTTGCCAGATTTCCAGTATAACCTAGGCATATACAACCTGTAAGACCTTCCCTCCCCTCCTCTCCCATTCTCCACCCTCCACCTTCCACCCTCCTCTACCTGGGCGGTTTTACAATAATAATAATACACCACTAACCAAACATTCATCACCCCCCACA